TGAATGCCGGACCCAAAACAATCGGATGAACTCCACTCTCGTTTTCCAGGAGCATATGGCGTACAACAAGTGGGGTTACTAGGTAGTTTCCGATGTTATACGTGGTATCAATTGATAACAATCCGCCTCCTCGTACAATCGAAAACCTTACTAAGTCGTTAAGCTGCCGGTAATTTGCCACCATAATAAACAAATCAGGAGCGTTGACAACTATGCGGACGAACCGTGCGCTTCCTTGTTCTTCGGCACAACGGACAACAAGATCCGCAAATTCTTCCGCTCTTTTAGGCTTTTTCGACTGGTTATGATTATAAATCGCTTTCGGAGATGGGATTTGGGATTCCGATCGCAACGCATTAAGCCCACCTTCGCTTGCTAACATCTTGATCCGGATGTCACGTGGCTTCGAGGTACCTGTAAACCATAAAATTGAAATTGGCACGCACCTCGACTAATATTTTTAAATTACGTGCCCGCTTTCTCTTTCATTTTTTCCCGTGCCGACTCATTAAAGCGAACAAATGGAGAAATCTTTTTGCTGTTTTTATGGGGTAGCACCGGAAACGGCTGTTCGATAACGTTGGTATAGTAGTACAGTAGCAAAGCTATCTTGTGATCATCTGAAGTCACCAGAAGCTTCCTAAAGTTTCCCGCGGAATTGGATTTGTAAAGCCTTCTTTCGAATGCTGAAAATTCTTCAATCCCATCGTGCTTTCCCTGAAAGAACCATAAAATAATTTTTTTAACTGGTAGTAACAATACGAACAAGCTTAATAAGCGGTGACACAAGACGTCAGCAATCGTTAGTAAAAGAAGAAATTACCATTTGGTCTACGCTGTCAAACTGGTCGTTACAGCGGTAGCGGTATGTCCGCGGCCCACCCAGTTGCTCCCCAACGCCTAAGCTGTCGTTTCGCAAGTCTTTTAAAATTGCTGACAAGTCAATCTTAATTAGAAATGCTGCGTTGCGCTGTACACTTTGCGGGACTTCATCAATCAGCTGATTCTGTAGATCCAGACTTGCTTTAAAAATGTGATGTGCCGCTTCCGCAGATGTGAATCCAGAGGATCTGCCCAGAAGGAATGATGAATAACCGTTGACCAATGTATCACTGCTGTTTTCTGACTCATCTTCGGACTGCATCGTTACTTTACTAAATAACACAATAAAAGATGAGCCCCTCCACGCCCCTCCAGAATCTGCCGATGATATTCTTAAAATTTACCTGTCTTCCAGGTTGACGTCGGTGGCGTTCGACAGGCTATCTTCAACAGCGGCTGTTGATCCTGGACATGTGTTTCAATGATCGGTCGTCAGCAAGGCTACGGGCTCGCTGCTATAAAATCAACGTTCATCGTACTAGCAGATCCTATTATTAGTAATTACAGTTACGTCTCCGACAAAATGGTAATCTCCTCCAGGTTTTCGACAGTTTTGTCCAAATCTTCGCCGTTGTGCGTTCTCGTGGATTCATGACTGAAAGATAAGTTTTCGGCAGCATGGAAGTCAAGAGATGCCATTTCAATTATTTCGACGACTGAACCATTATTTTCCAACTTATTAAGGTCATCGGCATCAATTATCGGCATAATCAAATAATCCGACAAATTGATCGCCATTTTAAAAAAAATTGATATTCAATAAGGCAAACATAATCTGTTTGGCACCCGAGATTTTTGAGGGTCTTCGCAGTAATAATGATTACTTCTGTCATACCGGATCTTGAAAGGTAATTTTCGCGCTTAATTACTAATTAATGTCCATGCTCATTATTTGAATGTCCATGCTCACTATTTAACGTCCATTGTGCATGCTCAGGGTCACTACGCATGCTCATGGTCATTTGGTCACGATCAGTGAGCATGCCCATGCGCACGTGCTCATGCTCAGTGAGCAATCTCATGAGCATGGAGTAGTACTACCCGTACGTTGTCTCCCGTTGGACAGTGGTTAACACTCAACAGTATAAGCGCGTCGCAAGCGCGGGCTTCGTTACGGTGGCATGCATAAAAGCCTAATTGCTCGCACGGTTCCAGATACCATTTGCATGTTTGGGTTATTTTCTGTAGTGAATATTAAACTCATCATAATTATTTTGCTTATAATTTTGATTAAGTTTATCATAATTGAAAATTGATCAATTTTAATTATGATCAGCATAATCAAAATTCAACAATTTAAATTAAACTGGAGCATAATTAAAATTGTCCAATTTTAATTTTGCTTATCATAATTAAAATTCAGTTTTCGTTTGATCAAGCTATATATCTTATTCATAATTTGACTCATAATTAAGCTTAAGTATAATTAAAATTGACCAATTTTAATTATGCTCAAGCTTAATTAAAAATGCACAATTTTGATTATGCTAAGCATAATTAAAATTGCCGTAATTTTAATTGAATTAATCATAATGTTTAATTCCCAGCAAAATTAAGAGTTTTATTATCACTAATTTTCTGTGGTCTTACTGAATGCAATGTCCAATCTGAAATCGTAATGTGCCTACATTGAATAAGATTTATGGACAATCGGGAAAGCCCTTGTCCAGGCTTTGTCTCGTATACATGTATGTCTGCCACATACCTACATGAGAGAGAGAGAGAGACAAGAGACCAGCTGGACAAGCTGTCCAGCTGTTAAGTGGGAGCGACTTTTGTTAATCATTTTGGCAATAACAATGCAGATTATATTGTTGAAATGGGATGCAACGATCGTTAAATATTAGAAGAGGCTTATCTGTACGACTTTCGGAGAATACTTGGCGCCGTTATTCAGACCGCTTACAAGTACCAGTATTCTCCATAATTCTGCATTCACAGAAGCGGACTAAGGATGACACTGAATTATACAGACATCTACTAAGGTTGTAGCCCGTTTTCCTGGACTATATAAACAGAACAGGCACTTTCAGGGTATTAGTTTCGCTTTCACATGTCTGATGGTGAATCACTTGATTAGTGATAGACGAACCTAATAGACTGACTTGGCTCACACTTAACTCTATTCGGCAGTATTTCCGCAATCGTCTCGATATGCCATTAATTCTACTATAGCTGTTTGTTTTCCGTAAATTCGGGCGCGCGTATCCGTGCCTTCCATGCACGCCTTGAATGTCGACTTCGCGCCGGTCACGCAAAAGATGCTGGCAAAGTCACGACGCTGCACACGCGCTATGTGTGCAATCTAAAGAATGATGGAGTTGCGAATGGATTCCCACTCTTCGGGTGTGCACTCTAAAGTATCCCGAGGAGTGGGATTCTATTTCCAGCTACATCGCACTATGAGTATCCAATACACCGGAAAGTTAACCATGGCTGGCACCGGAAATCAGACTTGGAAAATTTGCATGGCAGGTTTAGCGGCTTTAGCGATACATTCGTCCCACATACACAGATCCTTCGGCGGCAAATTTTAAGCTAGGGAAATCTGTACATGTGCGACAATCTGCACTTGCGCCAGCTGGATTTATCCACACTCAGCCGTATGACGATCTATAGCATCAACCCACTCTTCCCTGTTGGGCACACTAAAGCCTGAGCGTCGAAGCCAACCTTGTCATCGTGGATGTTATTAGTGCTATATTGCTAATTATCTGGCTGATTACTGAGCAATTGCTACCTTGCTGTCTCAAATACCTGCCGTATAGCTGCATATTGAACATTATAGAATTTTTTTCAATCTGTCTTCTCGGTTAGTAGAAAATCTTGCCTGGCATAAAATAGAATTTATGCCTAGGCGGAGATAATACACTTCGTCGGAAAGAAACGTTGCAATGTGACTAGGACTTTCGCTCCAGGTTTCCTTAAGAAACGTTCGAGTCTGGTTTATGTTCGAGGAAATGCGGCTGGTGTATTAGGTGCACTGAATGACCTCTGACATTTAACCTGAACTGCACGTTCCTTACAAACTGCATTCGAATCCACAAATCAACGGCTGCTACCACGAATTATTCTTGTTTATTGTGTGCATGAGCAGCATGACACAAATTTGGATGGACGGCGTGGTATAATGAACAGCAACGAAAACGTTCTTATAAGCTCCCACCAGTGCACACCGGTGAAATTTGATTAGCCGGAATGGGAAGCACCAACTGGGAAACGCCGAAAGCAGTTGAATCGTGCAATAAAATTCGCTTGCAAAGAAATAAAGAATGGAGAAGGAAAATATGTACAATATGTGCGAGTAAATCTTCTGAGACGTACTTAGTATCTCAGCAGCACAAAATTAAAAAAAAATTTGCCGAAAGCCTGCACAACAGTCGATTTCGTAGTTCAATAATGCGATGGTACTCGTACTGTACATATCTAGGTATCTGTAGCATTGTGCATACCTTGAGTCCCGACCATGCCGAAGGTCAAGAAGAAATACAATTGCTTTTCGCATTTGCACTTTATCGTACCTGCAAGATCCGTGGTGAATCCGAAGAGTTAAGTGCACTGTGCAACTATGAAATTAGTTTTCGAGTAAGTAATAAATGCATTACGTGGTGGCACGCTCCACGCTGCCTTGTCCGCAAAACCGACAAGCACCCAGGGTTTCTGTAAGTTAGCTATCCAATAGTGTGCAAGTACTGTGAATTTACTCAATTCAGCTGCAATAATTCTCAAAAATGGCATGTAGTTTGTGTTCTCAGCAGGGCGCAATCCGAGGGAAACCGAGAAACGGCTGAAAAAGGCGCTGATGGGGAAATCGAACCCCGGCTACGTCGTTAGATCCGCGTAGGCAGTACTACTGCACCACGGAGCAATACGTTGAAATCCTTTGAAAGATTTTGTCGCTTTACGTGAGCCGCTTCTCCCCTCACAGTGTCATAGGCAGTGCTATTAGTGTAACTACGGTATTCATGGTCTCAGGGTCTGTGTTAAGTTTTACTCTCTGGGCTCAGTGCAAGTTGAGTACTTTTCCTTTCACAATGGTGGACATTTTGTTTAGGAAATAATCTGCCGTTGCGAATACATAGAAACCACTCTGTTGCGAGTCTCTGTTGCTCAGAGGAATGCACTTTTATGAGAATACTGCACGATCGGTGTTAGCATGGAACTCTACAGATGTGGAGATTGACGGGCAGCTGCAGCACGGCTATGTTGTCGGCCTGGAAGAAGACCATGGGGCACCCCCGCGTCTGTACATCGATTTCGGGTGTCCGTCACAGCAGGCGGTGCTGGTTCCCTACGAGAAAACCTGGGACTGCTTCCGACATGTATTCAACTGTCCGCGCATGGGAGGCGCTGTGGAAGTCCTGCTGCACGAGGGCCCGCAGCGCCCCTGGAAATGGTACCCCGGGAAATTGCTCATTTCATCCTTCAAGCAGCTGCAGCATGTGGCGTGGGTGGAGGTGCTGATGGATGGGAAGTGTTTTCGGGAGCTGGTTCCCCAGCGACAAATTCGCCAAACACCAGGAGAAGCAGTCAAGCCGGGCCGCCTTCCCGCGGACCATTTCGTCATGCAGACCTGCAAAGTGCCTAACGGATACTGGGCTCTGCCGCCATCGCTATCGGCGTTTTTGCTCCGGCAGGTTGAGCAGGAGCTAGGGGTACGCTGCTTCAAGGTGCTCAGCCAGAAAATGCTAGTTCTGCGATTCAGCCATAAAATTCTGGAGGATGAACATCTAGTAAGTTAATCGACGTTGCGACGCCATTGTCGTTTAATCCAATCCCACCGTAAAGAGGAGTGGGTGGGGGGCACCGGGGCTGACACCTTTTCGCAAGTCTTGAAATGAAATTCAAAAATTTTAAAAATTAATTTATAATTAAAAAAATGGTGGAAAGCTGGTTCGGTACCAAAACGATCTACATAGTAATGTGCGTTTTCGTGCAAAATTCGAAGAGCATCGGTTCATAATGAGACTTTTGGTACACTCCGCGAAATTTTATTTCACTAAAAACTCCGGAAGCGGATGTTGCGCGCACAAACGGTTTTTTCGCCTAGGTGTACGAATCCTTTGGCTACAAAATATCATAAACAATGCGAATACGTGTTTGAGAATTGAGAGTGCGCGCATAGCGAAAGTTGCCGTGGATGTGTACAAATTTGGTGCTATGTACCGGGCCAAATCCCTTAATCGGGTTCTAGAAATATCCGATAATGACCTGGCCTTTAGTTTTGGTGCACGACAATGTCTAAAATTTTTTACCCATTTGAATTCGACATTTGTATCAAGCCCAATATATGTACTTTGCTCCATGCAAAAATGTTTTTCATTTCCCTCTGCAGGCTCTGCTGCTTTCAACATCTGACATGTTTTACTGTTCTTTGCTATTTTTTTATTCTTTGCAACGATAGTTATTTGTTTTAAGAGCACAATGACACAGCTCTGATAGTTTTCTATTTATAAATCTGAATTGTTGTGGTTTCTGGGGTGCCCCTGGCAGGGGCAGCACAAAACTAAATGTAAATATGCAATGCAAAGTGTGCGCCACCCGGCGTGAGGAAGGATTGTGCTCAGTGCCTGACGAGTGGAAGGCAGCGCCCGGATCTACGTAACAGTGGTCTCACTTCATCTAGCGGCTACAGTACTTGCTTGTTTTCGCTATAGGAAACTGTGTTCGAAAGAGCAAAAACGAAGCATGAACTTTGCCATGCATTACCCGCGGAAAACGGCGAGTCCAACGTTGATCTCAAACGAAAAAAACAGCTGACTGTCAGCAGGCACGGCATGGCATTACCTTTCGAAGTGCTGAAAGAGATCTTCCTGTCACTGGACACCGTCGACCGGCTGCGCTGTCGCCGCACTTGTCAATTGTGGGAAACTTTTCTCACGTCGGCGGAGGTTGGCAGAGATCTCCGTTTAGCGCGGCAGCGGTTTCACTCTTCCAGCGCTTGTGAGCCAATGCTGTGGACTTATAATTATGCCATGTACGCCTGCATCCTGAAGCACATCACACCCGCCACCCGCGTCATCTGCATTCGCGATACCGAACCGTTTTACTTCCGCAACTGGAACCGACCCAATGATGCCGATGAAGCGGTGGAGATGATTAGCAAGGTCTTGGAAGATGCCGGCCGCCGCATCGACTGCTTCGTCCTGGATCGACGGTCGATAAACATCGACTATTCCGCGTTTAATCAGTGGAAACTGGGCCTATTGACCGCCGAGATTGAAGGGCTTCAGAGTCGCTTGGGTTCATGCAGTGATCGTTTGATTTTGAAAGATTACGCACTTACTCTGCTAGACAAGAAAGGCTTGCCGGTAATGGTGTCCCGCATCCCCATTGCGGTCTTCCAGCCGGGACAGGCTGGTGCGGTGCCCATTTTGGACCTGTTGGAGAAGCATTTGTGCTGCAAGGGACCGCCGTTGGATGTGCAGCGCATTGCCGACTACATGGCCAGTGGGATCGACAGCGAAGAGAAAGCCAAGGTAATAGGGAAGATTTGGCTTCCTTCTTAGAAACAACCTGCCTCGAAAGCGTAACGAACTACTTAAAGAAACATCAGAATTTTAAAAACTTCAAGGGAGTTTTTATATCAAAAAATTTTCAAGAATTGTTAGCAGTTCAATTCGACATTTGAAAGCCGTTTAAAATCTTAAGAAAATATTTCGGTTGGTTTAGATGAGGTTTGTGACGACAGTTACTTGTTTGTAAGGTGCTGATTGCTTTAATAGATTCTGCGCAAGTACCAAACTACCGATCCGCGCTCCTCGTTGCATTATCGTGGAAACAAGTGGACGCTGCACAATGTGGCCGACGTGGACGTGAGCAAGTTGAACCGGTTCTGCCTGCATGCCTTAGCGAAATGCGCACAGGAGAACAACGGGCAAGCCATGCAATTCAGTTTCCGCAGGGAACCCAGCAGTTCCAGTAGCGAATCCAGCAACTCGGAGTCCGAAGACGGCCAGGATTAAAAAAACTGTTGAAATAAGTTGGATGGATTGCCAAACGTTTTATACTTTTTTTTCTAACCTAGGATTCTGTATGTTACGTATCGCGTAACATAGCACGCAAAATTGTACAGGTAACATCTATCATGTGAGTTCAGTGTGAATCACAATCGCGTTGTCTTCTTATTTGCTCTCGACTCGCTCTCTCATTGTCTTAGATGCTCTCGACTTTGATTTTTTTTCCAGCAGCTAGTTTGTCTTGTTTATGCGCTAACTGCCCTTCTTGCCCCGCGCTTCTTGCTACTTATTAATCGTATAATAATCTGGCCATGTTGGGTATTGCCGTTCGTATAAATCACATAGGGATGTATCGTCTCATCCCAACGTTGGTAGTCTGCGTAACTGTCATCTCACTTCCGTTCAGCATTTTGCCGGGCGTGCCTGAAATGAAATGAAAGAGTGGGTAGTTACTGATATTGCGTTTTTCAACCGTCTTTCATTGTGGGCACTGAATTGATTCGGTAATTAATTATATAATTTGATCAATTTTGCAAATTAATTTTTCAACATAATAACCGCTTAAAAAATTGGTTTTTCGCTTCCACCGTTCTATATTGCTCAAGGCCCGGTTTGTTTTCGACTTTTACGAGCTTTGAAACCGTGATCCAAACTTAAATTTTTTATTTGCCGTGAAACTTTTTATAACCTTTAACATCGAATCTTGGCTGCACTTCGTCTTGGCGCCACTGCTGCGCTGGAAAACTTAGCCCGGCGTCTTCTGTATGACCTCTGGGGCCATCTGGATCATCGGGGGCGCCGTGCCTCCTTCCGGTGGGCGTCGGTGTTGGCGTGAGCCAATTGTACCACTGTGGTGTTGTTCTGAATCGTGGAAATGTTCATCCTGATTAACTGTCAGTGAGGACTGCAATTTGTTTTGTCTAAACATTAACTACTCGTAGAAATTCAATCATACACAACTATTTTTTCCAGACGAAGCGGCTAGTGCTACTGTAGTGAGTATAGTCGCTTAGCGTACAAGTGCGGCCTCATTTTATGATACGTATTGTTATATTTAAAATGGTGCGTAAATCAGGGAAGGAAATAATAAAAACGATGTACTAGACAATTCTTACTCTTAGCTACGATATACGCAACAGGTTCCGTCAACATCAAGTTTCCAGTGAAAAGGAAGATTACTTTCATTGAAATTGAAAATCATATTTAATATGAAGTACCAACATGACAGTAAACAATAACGTTTTGGTAAAATGCTCTAAAAGAGTAAGTAATTCCGCTGTAACTGCGTTCTTTGCTATCTGTCGTAAACAATCACTGCAACAACACCTGGCATTATTAATTTGGTTTGCACGAATAAATACTTGCAGCCACAAAGCTTGTTCGCATCAAACCAAAGATTATACAATATCTGGTAAATTAACAGGAACAAAATTGAAGCGATTAGGAATGAAAAACTTTAAAAGAAAAATTCGATGAGAGATAAGAAGCGGTATTCGAATGCAAACGGCACAACACAGCGAGGCGACCAGAAAATAGTAAATGGTATGAAAACTATCTGTACTAGGATTAAGAAGAACAGTCACGGCGACTTTTTCACAGGCATGGACGACAAAACATGCATTCCTTTCATAAGCCATCCCTGTTCGAGCTGCTGCTTTGCGAACTGTACAGATATGTATCCAGAGGGTAAATACTGATCAGTCATCGCTACTCTTTATTGAACTGTCGCTGTCGCTGGACGCGGTGGCGCTTGACCATTCTGCCGCTATCCGAGGTTGAGCCACTGCTTGGAGGATTGTTGTCCGATGGTTCAGTACTCGTGGAAGAGGACTCATCACTACTGGACGATCCATAATCGATAGTGCCAAAGCTATCGTCGTCACTGGACACTAGATGTCGAAAAAAGAAAAATTGTTTTGATAGAAGAAGTACATGGCTGTATGAACTTACTTTTTAGAGTAGCTGGCGGAGTTCAGGTAAGTTGGTAAAAGAAGCGCGATGTGGTTCCGGAAAAACAGACTGAATAGATCCAGTGCTTAAAGGAAAAGTACAGAAAAGTGTTGATGAATGCGAAAATGGCCTTTTTACCTTTGCAAATTATGCAGCGGCAGATCCCATACACTGCACAGTACATGACATTGTGTTTTATCTGCCTTTTACGTAAAACGGCAGATAAAGCGAACGCGCAGTGAAGGTGTATGGGCCCTATGGGATTTACCGCCGGATATTGGGTAAATAAGGCGCAGTGCCGACGCGTTGGATAAACAGAAGAAGATAACCGAGAGTCAGATAACCAGACCAGATTGACTGCCACAAAATTTAATATGCTGCGGATAACTGCCGGTATAGTAGAATCGCAGCCTAACTTTCGAGAGTTTAACCCGTTTAGGGTAACTAAGACATAGTTTCCCTGTACCGGCCGTTATAGTCGAAACACAAAAAGTCGTTGCGCCCTCAAGAGACACCAATGGAACTCTACTGGAACCCGTTGGAACTGTTGGAACTACTATCTGTGCATGTCTTATTACGCCTTTGTGTGGTACCAGTGGAACCTATGGAACTCTACTGTAACCCACTGGAACCGTTGGGACATCATCTCGTCGTCGTCGTCATCTGTACATCGTCTCTTTGCGCTGTTACAGATATATGATACCAATAGAACCTATGGAACTCCTTTGGAACTGTTGGAACTGCTGTAAATCGTCTCATTGCGCCTTTATTTGATTCCAGTGGAACTTATGGAACTCCACTGGAACTCATTGGAACCAAAGGAAACATTGTTAATACATTCCAATGGGTTCCAATAGAGTTCCATAGGTTCCATGGATATCACGTAAAGAGCGCAATGAGAAATGACAGTAATTCCGACAGTTCCAATGGGTTCCAATAGAGTTCCATACGTTCCATTGGTATCATAAGGAGACGTAACATGAACTTCTGTTGCGGTTTCATCGGATACTAGCGTAGGTATTTACTAGTAGTTGGGCTGGATGGAACTGGTGGAACCAGTGGAACGTATGGAACCGATGTAGATTGTGGAACCAGCGGAACTTGTGGAATCATTGGAACTCTAGAGGAACCGCCTTCTTACCCTAAACGGGTTAATCTAGGCTTTCAGCACGAAACACGGCTTTTCATATCGGCAGCGTGTGTTTGTTGTGCTCATTCTGAGTCACCTAAACTAGTTAGAGCGTTCTATTTTTTTGTGTGCACAATAATTTATCAAAAGCGAAGCAGCGAGGTCATTTTCTTTCGAATCTATTCGTGTTCGCATATGATACTTAAAATTTCATAATACGATGCAGAACATTCGCAGATAAGCTTTCTTTTACATTAATGGTTAGCTTTAGCAGTATGCAAAGTAAAGATAAATAAGACTATGTTTAATATTTGCACGGAAGCTGATTCTATCATCTTGGCTCGCCGTCCCAAGATATTACACCCTGCTGCTTCATGCAACAGGAACTAAGCACTTGTCGGAAATGACGTTCAGAGCGAACGATTACGTGCCCGACAAGCCCGTTTTGCGGGCTTTAAGAGACGGCGTTATTTTTGTTTCAACGTTTCAACCTGGTAATAATGTTAACAGGGTGTTTACGGATGGTCCGAAACTATTTGATCAGACTAACAAATTTTAGGGGTTACTCCTTACTTTTGGAAAATCTTGCATGTGCAAAGGAAAACCATAATACGCAAGAATTGAAACGCGGCATGATGGCCGTTCGACGTATAAATCAGCTTTCGAGAACCGTTAACACCTAAAAGCGCTCAGAAACTAATTTGCATTTACAGTGTCCCGCAGCAAAGAGGCATCCATTAAAGCTGTTCATAGATGAATAATTGACCATTTTCATGGTCCGGTGAATGGAACAAACTAAGCGGATTGACCGTTGACTGCGTTAACGCGCGCATACTGCGGCGTTTCATTGCCGACGAGCTGGTGCTGCTCTATATTTTTTGTTGGTGTGCGAAAGTGGTCAGCGCTGGCTTCAAAGGGACCAAATGTTTGTTGCGCAACCTGTTGCAGCGACAACTGTTTCGTATTTCACATGTAGTGTGTGGGGATAGCTGGAACTGCTACAAAAGTACCTATCGTACAGTCTGTACGTTACCTATTCTCTGTGGTGAGTCAGCAAGACCTTACAAGCCGCGTATTTACAGGGCCTGAATAGTTGACTATATATTTTTGAATCTCCTGTATTTTCAAGGCAAAACGTCATCGTCAACTTCGCGCGAATCCAGTCCTCTTAACCTAAACAACCTTCGCAAACAACGCCCACTACCCCTGACATTCCAATTCGCGCGTAAGTTGTAACTTTGGAGACAAAAACATATCAAGAACGATAAACCTTCCTTTATGTGGTAATTATACAATTGAGATGGTAATATTGCGTGATCCTAAACCATAACGGGTTCGCTGGCCGACCCGTAAAACCACTCGCCTTCAGCAATTAACTACAGTAGTAGTACATTTTACACACTCCGTCCGCCATAGAGCAATTTTTATCTCACTAGTTACATATCAGCACTTACTCATTTAATACCAATTAATTTGCCGCCTGCTTCGTTTTCACGATTTAGTGATGCGAACCATACCGTTGAACATCCCTTCAGTTCTGATCAGCCGCATTCTCTGTAATCTCTCTATTTCAACGCCAAAACCATGCTATAACGTTGGAAACCAGCGGAGTTGTTTTGATGTTAAAGCCAGATCATTCAATTGGCTACCTGCTTTAAGCTTATGCTGATTACAAGTTACGAGTACATTGTTTACCAGCATGAGAGGAATGCGAGGTATCTGTCTCGGAATTCCTCATCAGTTTTTTTGTTGTTGGTTGACTTGGGATGGTAATGTGATCGGGATGCTGGACATCGGAAACTGGGAATGCATCGTTTAACCCGGTCGACACCATGCATGCCAATTGGCACGGTGAAGGACCGAACTTTTGTAACTAGTTCTAACGCTCGTACAGTGTGTTTGCTGGTTTTATTTCAAAGGAGAAGAATGAAAGTATAGTTAAAAACGTAATATTCCACAGTCCAGCATTACCACAGAGCTCTGGTAATGACCAAAGGTGGACAAAAATGACCAAACTAGGTTCGCGGAGGTCTCGGTCACCTGCCCAAAAACTCCCGCATCCAATATATACCCAAAAAATCACACTTTTAGTATCCATAGAACTTCATTCGAAAATGATCAGGTTGTACATATACAGGTGGACACCGTCCGCCTACGGCCATTCTAAAAATCTGCGCCAGTTTTGACACGCATGGGTTTTGTGCTATTCTTTGTCAAAAGTACGAAATTCTATATAAAAATGCTGAATTAAGATAAAAAACTGCACGTACAATAAAAAAATCCCACTAAATTAACCCTTTTCACTGATCGTGATTCAGTGGCCATCGAAGTGACCAGTGGTCACTCAAGGTCTAAAAAATCGCAAAAAATCACTTATTGGACAATAGTGCAAAAATTAAAAAAACTAGGCACAGACATTTCACACTAAACATTGTTTTCGGCATTCCATAAACACTACTTGTACTGTGGTGTGTACCTAGTCTTAAGGAAAAATATGCAACACAAAAAACAAAAAGGCTCGCAGATTGAGTGTCGTTGTGGATGTCGCTCGGTGCATGACCGGAGCGTAACAGCCAGGCTTACAACCGCCTGCGCCTTCTAGCCCCGGGCCCCCGGTGTTTCTACACTTATTTAATGTTTTGAATAATGGAGTGTCATTTCAGTACTTTGAATTTAAATCCACTTTACAAGTATACACTTTAAAACTAGGTTAAAATGCACCGATTGGTTCATTGGCAGACCGGAGCGCAGCTCTAGATCTTGCCCTTAAAACTTCTGGAAATATCGTTGAAAAGGCGAGTAGTGGTAATAAAGCAGTAATGAAAGCGTTGAAAAGGCGGGAGGCGGCAATAAAACATATTTTGATTTTTTCAGAAAGACAGTGCTTAGGCTGGTGGACCAGCACTTGTTAAAGAAATTTTTGTCTGGGCAGTTCTTCCTCGATGATTGCAGTTTTCGTTGTGCTCGATAGATCGATCGAGAATAAGGTACGCACAAGATACATAGGATGACAACAGCAACAGGCACCCTGAAAACCCCGTTTCCTATGGGCACTTCTTTTCCGCACCTTGTCAATTAAAGGCAACCTTATCTTATTAAGTGATTTGTCACGTACAAACCGCTCCGGGATGAGCACTAAAGGTACAGCTAATGCATAACGAGCGCGATGTTTGCGCTTAGCGCGATGGCTACTACTGTGCACTTCGTTTACCACATTGTAACCACAATTTAATGCGTTAATGCGCACGTAGATTTTCCGTTACTACACCTACCGTTTTCTAGCCGGGTTCCGCCAGGCAGCTACGATTATACTCATTAAAATATATGGCGAGCACCAAGCCACCAGCCAGCCTAACGCATATTGCGTGTTTAAACAGTGTGAAAAGGCTTAGTACGTTGTTTGGCGCAACCCAAGAATTTACATTTTTCGATTTTCTCTATCGTGCTAATCATCCGGACCGGCTTGTACACCTTGTTTATTATAGGTACCCTTTTGGAGCTTTAGCATTAATTATTATTACCAGAACTTAGATACGGTAGCTATAATCGCTAAAGTATGGTAAGCAGGGCAACTTCTTACCTACTATTCTGAAAACGATAACAGTATTTAGAATGGTACTTTATTCCGAAAGCGGAAAGGAATGTAATCGATGTCACCCCCTGTACTGGAAAACGCGAACACACATTAATTTTGTAGTTTTTTTTATTTTTGTGCGTATCGTGTACCGGACAAAGAAGAGTTCACCCGGTGTCCGAAAAGAACCGACAGAAAACCGGCAACAAAATTACGATTGCGAAATGAAACAGCCAAATTACCGCCTACGATGTCATGCTCATTGGACCTAACAATAAGTTAGCAGAGCAGCCTCACCGTTCGATGTTCGAATGGTGTGTGTATGCGAGCGTACTGTTTTTATACGGATGCACAACACAAAAATTATTGGATTCTGTATCAGAAATGTGTTACTGAAACAATTAAAAAGGATGCCTATGAAATACAGTAACAGAATGTTTCCGTTTATTGAAAGGTGTCTAGTAACAGTCTGTTAGAAGATGGTGTCTATAAAATACAGGGCTAAAAAGGGTTCTCACA